GGCATCGTGCATTTATAATGCACGTAGACACTTTTCGACAGAAATGTTCAGTTTTTCTTATAAAAGAAAAGTTCTTTCATTATAAAAGGCACTGTAGTTGCTAAACGTTAAATGTAATTACTATGTTATTATCACATATATAATATATTATTATTATTATTATTATTATTATTTACGTAAAATAATTTATAATATTAAATACAACGCTAAACTATTTTATTTGTTATACGCATCTCTGACATATTTTTCATAATTGCAAAAAGAATTTATTAAAAAAAAATATATATATATATATATATATATGATAAAATATAAGATTTCACTAAAAAAAGAAAATATCAATGTATTATAACGTAGTATAAGATTAATATTAAAACATATAATCAGTAGTATTTAATTTTGTGACAAATTAACTTTATATTTATAAATAAAATTTATTTAAAATTTATAAGTAATAAATATGCTGTAAATATAGCTTTTCTGTAAATTGAAATAGTAAACGAAAATGATGAGAATTTCGATGATTCGAAATATTACTTACATAATGATTCAACAGACAAAAAACATTTTTCTTAATCTCTATCTCGATACTTGCAATTTAATGTCAAAGATATTCTAGTTGCTCTATTATTAACAAACTATATTAAGCCTATTAGTCTCCCAATTAGCATAATCTAAACTATTTACATTTTTAATAGCTATAATAAATATAATATATTATATCTGTAATAATTATAGTATTCTACAATATATTTGCAATTCTAAAATAATAAGAACGTATTAATAAAACATATTTCTGGTAATCTAGAAAATTATGTGATACATTCACTTTATGATATTCTGAATCATATTTAGCAACGAAAAAGGAACAAATTTTGTAAGTAACTTTAAATTAGAAAATTTTGTCTCTGTTCATAATTCAACGTCTGACACTTGCCATTATTTTTTCTACAAATAACCTAAACGCGACATGTAATATTCGATTGTCAGTAAAATATGAAATAAGATCCCCGTTTTGCACGTTGACAAATTATCTTTTAATGTCACATCAAGTAAAATTGGAGAATAATCGCGATTTATTAGAGATTTCTATCTGGTTACAATAACGTACCTGCTTCATCTCTCGCAAAAATCGCATAAACACAAGCTTATAATGCGATTTCCACGGTCTTGGCGTGTGTCATGTTCATCCAACCATGAAAATAAGATAAATGTCACATTTGTACGTACATAGATGTAATCACTGTATTTTCATAAGTATCGTGTGTAATAAGTGACAAATTCCTTACATATTTACACATTTATATTTATACATTTACATATTACACGTGCATAATAAAAAGTCCTCTGTTACGTAGTGATTCTTCTATTCTGAAACTCCCCGTTTAAACGTTCATCTCGTGCCCAGGGCCCTAAAGTTTGAAAATTTTGATAATTCTTTCGTGTTTAGTAGCACGAGTTTCGACCTAAACGAAAAAAGAATACTTTCTACCTACTCGAGTCTCAGCATCGATCAACGTATTAAAAGATTTCACTCCGACTTATCATCACGCGCGGTCAGCCCAATCTCCCTAATAATTCCTCGCGGAGCTTTCGTTGATATTTTCAGGGAAAAGTACCGAGTGACGTTTCGTCATCTCGCGTTGAACGAATGAAAAAATTCGTCCGGCCGTGTCGTTTTTCGCCGCGCGTGTACATACATAGTAGTAAAAAAAAAAACACACACAAAGTGGAGGGAGAAAAAGAATCGGCCAAGATCTTGGCCGAATGGCGATAGGCAGGTGTCACGCCATCGCGCACCACCCGGCGCGACGATTACGACGATTACAGGTGGCTCCCTGAAGAGGGTGGGAATCGGTTCCGTTGACATTGCATTCACGAAGCACTAACCACATTATTTATGCCACCTCGTAAAACTTGTGGCGTGCCTGAACACACTACTCGCCGCTGTTGTTCCCCTTTCGCTCCACGCAGATTCAGAGGAAGGGACTTCTATTTGTGAAGTTCACCACCTCTGGCCCGTCAGTGGCGTTGCTTGCGTCGGGGATGGTTGGAACGCGATCGGTTGTGCCAATCTTGAACTACATACAAACTTGAAGTTGAAACTTGAGTTTTAATCCTTCAACGTTGGCACTGGCTTATTATCATGGTTCTGGCATTTTCCAATTTTCGCCTATCTCTGCCTACGATCTTGCATCTTTTTCACCTTTTGTGCCACGCGTTCATAAATTATCATAACAATATATAAATATAATTTAAGTATTTCTTACCGTGGATTATCAAGTTAAATTTCCCTAAAAATATTAAAAGCCATATTACTTTATTTTAATGATTCAACATTTAATTGTAAAAGTATTTTTTATATTCATATAATAGGGTAATTCTAGTTTAATATTTAATTTTCATATATTTTAATATATAAATTTGTGTTATATTAATAATTTAAATAATAGTAATATAAATTATTTTATTTTAACAAGGTTTGCCAATTATTAATTTATAATTCAGGTTCAACCGCTATTGCTGGCACTTTAATTTATAATTATTAATTATTAATTCCCTTGTTTAATTTTCATTAATTAATAATAAAGAATTTTGTATTAATTTTACTATATTAATAAATGTAATATTCAATTTTAATAAGAAAATCTTTTTTGTCCTAAAATTGCAATATTTTCTTAGTTTTCAGTATATTTAAGTCAAATAAAATAGGCAAAATAATAAATTTATTACTTCTCAATAATTTCCATTCAGTGATATCATAAAATGACGAGTTCAAAAGAAAGCGACAAATTTATTGTATACGGTTTCGGTCACTCGTTATGGTCCGCGAACCAGTTGACAGCGCAACGGGTTAATGCTGAACTGGGTGGGTTTTTTTTTTTTTTTTTTTTTTGTTTGAGATTGAGAAAAAGAGATAAATTATTATTTTCTCGTCGTGAATAAATTACTTTATCAATTTTTTTTTTCATCTAAACTCTCGTTCTGAAAAATTAGAATTTATATTGCAAAATTGTCAGTCCATAGTTCCTCGTCTAAAAAATTTTTCAAATTTAATATAACCCAAAAATAAAATATCTCTTGTTACAAAATACATTTATTTGATTTATTTGCGGGAAAAAAAAACTATACGTAGTGCATGAAACAAATTTTTAAATAAAAATAACCAAATGTTATTAAATTTTCCTCATAGGGAAGGGAAACGTTATATGCACGTTTATTTATTTTAACATAATTTAACGTTAAAAGCAAAATGTTTGATTTTGAGAAAATGACAAATGCCAGTCTGAACGTTAAATGGAAAATTCATTTCGAGAAAAGAGGAAGTATTTCACATGTTTCCTTCACGTCGAGGAAAAGTTACAAAATGATTTTCCACTGGGAGTTTAAATCTTATAAATAACTTGGAACAGCGCAAGCGAATAAAGTTGTTTGCATCAACATCAATTTTCAAGAATGAAAAACAGGAGCATGCGACAAATGAAGATAAAATAAGAATGGACCCAGTGTGAAATATTGCATGCGTATAATGATATGCAAGCCGAAAGGGGTTTCTCACTATTATAACGCGCGGGTTCTTACTAAGATATTTTTATTACACACGTGAACGTGTGTTTGATTAATGTGGACGTATAGAGGACACAGATATTGTTGAGTTAGGATTGATAAGACTTTATTTATGACAGCTTCTAATCAAATTATACAACGTGAAGTATATCATACAGAATTATGAAAATATATAATTGTTTAATGCTGCGAAGTATCTAAGAAAAATTATGAATCATTATGAAACAATATCTCGACTCTACAGATAAAGGAACGTATTATTTTATAATAAATTTTACTATTAATATTATAATTATTCTGTAATGATTTTTTTGCTTTTAATGAAATATATCATAAACATGATGAACATATTATATATATATATATTATATAATAATATTATAAATATATATATTGTACAAAATATAATAATATTATAAATATATATTTATTGTATAAAATATAATATTATAAATATATATATATTATATAAAATAATATTGTAAATATATATATATATATATATATTATATAAAATATAATAATATCATAAATATATATATTACATAAAATATAATAATATTATAAATATATATATATTACATAAAATATAATAATATCATAAATATATATATTACATAAAATATAATAATATTATAAATNAATATAATAATACTATAAATATATATTGTATAAAATATAATAATATTATAAATATATATATTGTATAAAATATAATAATATTATAAATATATATATTGTATAAAATATAATAATATTATAAATACATATCGCATAAAATATAATAATATTATAAATACATATCACATAAAATATAATAATATTATAAATATATATATTATATAAAATATAATAATATTATAAATATATATATTGTATAAAATACAATAATATTATAAATAAATATATATATATATATATTATATATAAAAATGTAAATATATAAGCATATAACAATACATATATAAAAATATATTGATTATTTGTTGTTCCATTATCACTACTCCTACTAAATAAATATTATTTACGTTACATCTCTACAATATAAAAGAACCTCGGCGTAGAATCGTAGATTTACATACACCTCGTCAAAGTTACCGTCTTTTGGTGTTGCCATCAATCGTTTTCAAATGGCTAAAAATACTTTTATTGGCCGTTCGTTTATCGGTCATCCTCGCGTAAATGCCAGCATCCCATTCAGCGTCTCGCTCTTCTACAATTCAACCCAGTCCAGCGTTTTCTATTTATCCATTCGTACATTCTATTTCCATCCGTCTCGGCCGTTTCGTTCTCGGCCAAACGACAATGCCACGCGCAACTCAATTCCGCGTTTATTTCTGGCAGCAGCATTGTGCTCGCACGGTTGGCGAGCGAAACGCTCGGAGATGCTATTTGTAAAGATTTGTTTTCATTCTCCTTGTGTTTACTTACAGCTACCGTACTCGATGGAATTGGATTACGACGTAGTCGGTGTCCCCGGCGGTGTTTCCGGAATGATGGCGCTGCTTCCCCCCAAAGTGAATGTGTCAGCAAGAGGAGAGGTGCCAGTCACCTTGCAAGTATTCAGGATCAGGCTACCGTGTTCCGGCCTCGTCAGCGCGCAAATTCCATTGGCTTTGAGGTTAAACGTCACCGCACCACCTGGCACCAAGTACAACGACACGATTCTAGTATTCAAGAGGAACAAGATCTGCTTGAAAGGTTGGTTGGACGAAACTATATTTGAAGGAAAAGCCATTTGTCTCGCATTGTTGTTTGCCTGTTGCAGTTTCTCTCGAGATAATTCCTTAAATTTAATTTCGTTTTTCTTCTTCTTCTTCTTAATTGTTTATTCATTGAGAGACTTTCGTGTCTACGTGTCTTCAAATTTGTGCATAAGATACAGTCAGTCAATCTGCGTGCAAGTGGCACATTTTAAATATTCGAAGGAGAAAGCGAAAGATTTTGAAAATTTTGATTAATTAATTTGCTACCTGAAATTGAACTGTTTTTAAAATTTCAATGAGACGTTTCTATGCTTGTTTGAAAGGATTTAGAAATAAATGGACATTGAATATACGATTTTACGAAGCAAATAATAATAGAAACATATTTTGTTAAACTATTATCATTATTGTTCGTCCAATAAAAACAATACGAATAATAAAATTGATTGCTCTTTTGTTTATTCGTTTTCTTCGAATGTTATAATTTGCAAATCGCACGTGGACTTTCGTTTCAGATTATATTTGACTATCATTGAAATTAAAATAATATAGTATCATTTTTAATAAAAAAATGCTTGGAAAAGAAGTAGATTTTTGAAAAAAAAGTTTCTTGATGAAAATAGGTCTATTAAAAAAGTTTAAGAAAAATGTCTTCACACGTTATATAAAGTACAATCATTTCAAGATAACTACCAAGCGAAAGAAACAATACATAATTAGTATTAGTTTTCAATATATAAATATAATTAGTTTTCAATATATTATAATATTTCAAAGAAATATACGCTCAAAATTATATTTCAAAAAACGACAAATCTGATGCACAACTAGATCGCCGGAATTTGTCATAGTATTATGTCTATTATGTTATATATAATACAAATTAAAGATATTATTTACATATATGTCATGAAATAAAATATTACAAATTTTAAATTGCAAGAAAGAATAATCAAAAAGAAAATAATTTTCCAATATATTTTCTAAATAGTTTATGCATATCTTTTTAAACTCAAGAGCTTCGAATATAAAATATCTCTTTTGGAAGTAGCAAAGTCATTTTAATTATTAAGAACAGACTGATCGATCATTCGTTCCATTAGTTATAAATTTCTACAATAAACTGTTTCAATTAGTATATCGTAATGATATAAAAAGTTATTAAATACGATGTGATTAATTAGAAATTTAGAAATGTAAGATTTCTATGCCTATAAATTTCGTTACAAGATGATCATTATTTTCGAACATGAAGAATTAAATAAATTAGAGCTTTTCATAGATGTGATGTACATACAATTATCAAGATTAATGACTCCTTCTATTAAACTCTTGTTCCCAATTAAATTCTCGTGAAATATGAATCGTATCTCAGTTCTTTCATCGAACGGAACTGATCGTAATTTCTTGCAATTTTAATGATCATTCGTTTATTATACTTTCCATTGTAAGCAAAATCTACTTTTCGAAATCTTTAGAACCGCGCTGTCGTAAATTATCATTTCATCCGCGTTTTAATAACCGAGGGATCGCAGTTTCCACTCTAAAACTTATCTACCGTGATCGAATGGTTATTGTTCCTGACTCCATCTGAAATTTCCACAATTTCTTTCTTATTCTGTCTTTTAGATCTTACGATGATATTATATAATATCGTTCCATTTATATAATCAATAATTAATATTATTTTTATAATATCGTTACATCATGTAATTACATTTTATATTCCGTGTATCTATTCGTACTACGTAATTACGTTTTTTCATTTTTCATACGCATCAGTATTGAAACACCTGCGTGTAAATATAGTATGGTTAATTTTTGGTTAGTGTACTGTTCCTTTCAACTAATTTAGTTGACCTTTTATTTGTAATCTCAATCTCCTTTCAATTAATTTAGTTAATCTTTTACTTGTAATTTATTTTAAACTGTTTAATCAAATTGCAGGACACACGTCAGAATATAATTAACAAGTTAAAGTTTATCGTGTGCAGAATTTCCTCTCTTTTGTTTCGCCGTGAGCTCAAAATATTCTGAAACGTTGCTTCCCCGGGATGTTTCAATAGCAACGAACATTCAAAACTTAGAAGAGTTCTTCCCAGAGAATTTTTCCTAACGAAACGCTTGAAATTGAAAGTTCAGAAACTAATCACGACTGCTCTTGAATGTTGAGAACTTTCCTTAATCGTTTTATCGTTCGTGTTAATGTGCTTGTTGCCTAACATTAAAGTAAAACAAAAAAAAAAAAAAACAGCTTGAAAATAAAGAGAAAAAGTATCCCGAAATTAAACTTTTTTAAGCAACAGATTGCGGACCGTAACGAGTGACCAAACCGTATGGAAATTCGTCCAGTACAACATCACTGGATGGAAATGATTGATATGTACAACAAACTTGTCATCTCAGATATACTTAAAACCGAGACGAATATTGTTCGGGCAAAAAATTTCTCACTTGGGAAACCCTTCTTCCTCCCCATTCTCAACAAGTTCTTCCGTACAATTCGTTTCAGTGTCGGCGCGCGCAAACGGAGAACAATCCCCAAACCAAAGAACCGGAGAACAACCGGTCCTTTCCATCGCTATCTTCCCCCTCGTTTAAATTGAAAACAAATTTCGCAAATAAACGTGCGCCTTCCATCTGCAGCGTTGCACTTTAATTAATTCAATATCGTAGCGCGGCGGCCACGCGGTACAAAGCGGCCTCGAACGAAATGCAGCAGCGCCGCACCCCGCGAACTTATTAACCATTTTCTGCTCGCCGCTCCGTTGTGCTTATCTTCGCCACCGACAACACCGGGCAACAAGTAATTATCTCTCGAGTAATCGGGAAATTTTCGCCAGTTAACGGACAAAGGAACAAACGAAGTTTTACCAGCTGTAATAGGATTAATAAAGTTGCACGACAGGTTACGCACTGCAGCGAGTGGCGGCGGCGACGGTGGTGGTGGGGGGCGGATGGGGTTCAGGAGTGGGGGGGGGGCGGTGGGAGTGGAAGGGGGCGACACGCGCGCGAATGTAATTAAACGAAATTAGCCGGGCCATCGCATCGGCGCGCGGCCGAAGTTTAATCACTGGATTTTCGCAGGGTCGGGTCGCGGCCAGGTATCACACGACGGCATACACGGGATTCTGCTTTCAGAAATTATGCATCGACGTTGTTGCCGATTGCGTGTTGCACAAAGGGGGCATAAATCGTGCATAGAAATTTCCGGCGCGCAAAAGGGAAAGGGAACCCCGTGGTCGCAACGAATGCGCTCTTCTCCTCTCCTGTTTTAATCGCGAATGAACGTTGAAACTCGCGTCGCCTGTAACGAAGGCATTCAACGATCCCGGTGAACGTGCTAATTAAATTTGCGATTGCGTAACCCGGGCAATTATCGACAGTCCGCCAACGCGGTGTTAAAACACTTGTGTGCAAACGCGTTTGACACGGTTTGCGCGTTTTCGCGCGTCGTGCACGTAGGGACGGCGAGAGAAGTTTTTAGCGAAAACCGGGGATTTTTCTCATGCATTGATTAGGCGTTTCCAGTCTCGTTGGCTGTCAGTGTCATTTTCACCTCGCTGATTATTGGGATATATCTTGTACGTTGTTTTTAAATTAGGGATTCTTATGCACGTTCGCATTTCGGAGAGTGTAATTAAAGATAGACTATCGGTAAAAAAATTTTCCACGTTACTGATATATATTATAATATATTATATTACAAATATATACATCATACGTTACGACCAAAGAAAAAAAAAAAATGATTCCACTTTTGTTAAAAAAATAAATTGGAAAGAAAAAATAAATGTTTTTTGTTTAAGACTCACATTTCGAGGAAAATTCATTCGTCAGAAAATCAAATTTGTAAATTTATCGAGCATGTTTAAATTTCAAAAATTGGTCAAAAATAAATGAAATAAATAACAATATGTCTTTCATACTATAGATTTTACGATTTCATCTCCAAAACAAATAATTTTCCCACGTTTATAAATTGATACTTTTTCTTTTTTTTTATAAAGAACGTCAAAATTGATAAAAAAAAAAAGGGTGTATAATTCTATTTAAAAGAGGGAAGGTGATCGCGAGACTTCGAAAACCTAGAAGAATCATAAGACGTTCGCCTCGAAACAGAAATATTTCTTCAAACAACGAATAATTGCACGGATGAATTAAAACGAGCCCTGTGTATCTTGAAACTTGCACGCTTTTCTCGGTATGATTTTATTGGAAATTGATAATGTTTCATCGCGTCTTCTTCCGCCGGTATTCCTCTGATTTAAATTTCCGTGGAATCTCTCTCGTGCTACAAACGGGATCGCAAACGCTGGATGGTCTGTAATAAATTGCACGAGCGAGTTTCGCTTTTCTTTCGCAACTATACGTATACACTTTGATTCTTTGAAGACATTCTTCTGTTTTGTTTGACGTTTTTAATGAAAGTCCGAGTCCCGGTTTCTTTAATAAAGAAGAGCTGCAGATGTTGCTGGGGTTTTTCAGTGAAGCGGGTGAACGATTTTAGCAAATATTTAGCGAAAATTTTTGCATCGAGTGCGAATAAAAAAAATAGGCTTACAAGGTCGATTATACGCAGAGTTTCTTACGAATTATTATATAAAACACTTTGGAATTTCGTTAACACCTTAGTAAAATCCAACTGTCGCGACTATACTGACAAAAAAAAATATCGGCACATCTAATTTGTTGGCGATATCTTTGTGAAAACAAATGATACATTGGCTAAATCTGTTTCCATAAATAATTCGCACAGTAACGATTTCCAATGACGAGTTATACAATAATGGTAGAAGAGGTATAAAAATTCCGGGGTCAGAAAAGTATTGACACATAATTCCATTGTTTGATCTGTATTTAGTTGCAGAATTAGAAAAATTATGAGAAAAATATTATTAGAAAAATTAGAAAAATTATTAGAAAAATACAATATATTTCCTAAGTATTGAAAGTATTATCAAATAGTATCGTGTCAACATTAGGAAAGGTCGCTCGTCTTTAAATCATTAAAATTCTTTCAAGTACGAGCTGCAAGAAGAAATCCGTCATGCGTCAATAATTTCTTGTTTCTCGAATTTTTATATTATCTGTATTATTATTATTATATAACACATTATTGGAAATTGCTACTTTTATACATGATAAATTATTTATTATATATATTATATATTAATTATTTATTATATATATTGTATATTATTTATTATATATATATATTACTTTTATACATGGTAAATTATTTATTATATATCATTTGTTTTCACAAAAATATTGCATGAAAACTAGGTATGCTAATATTTCTCTGTATATAGAAATTACAAGATATTTAACACAAGTGTTTACTTTACAGACAATATAACAGTATTTGTACCATCACTATACATTATATAAATAAACTATACAATATTCACTAGTTATCTTTGAACTATACAACTAGTAAGGTCTATAACTATCTTTGTTTAATGAATTATTATCAGTTTTTATTTATTATGCTAGTACTTTTTGATACAACTCTTAAATAGTTGAATTCTAGGCTACTATAATCATTGACGTCAGGCTATTAAAATTTAAGGTATTTGATTTTATTTAGTGTCTTACATTTTCCAGATAGAGATTAGTAATAAAATTGAATCAAATTAAAAAAAATTGCAAAATTGAGCTTATTAATTTGTCTTCAAATTGTTATTATTTGTTTCTGACGATGGTAATTATGTTGTAATCTACTTCCAGTTTCCAGTTGAGCTTGAATCCTGAAGAAGCTTAATTTCTGTGCATATTTAACAGCTAATGAGGTTATCTTCATTTGACTAAAAGTATACACGGGTTTGTGTATTTATCTACATATAAAATACATGAGCACGCTTTCGCATGTGAACATGAGCCTTCAGAAGCTACATGTTTGTAGTTAGTGGGCTTCAGAAATTCATCAAGTTGATTTAGGCCATTGGTACCATCACGCGTACTTTGTACAACGATATAACACAACTCGACTTTCAAGTATTAAAAACTATTGCATTTTGCTTCTTACATGAATAATATCTGTATAATAAAAGCAATATTTATTATTTAATTAATTTATTATTAATCAATTTTTTCGTTACGCGTTTAACCACATTTAACTTTTAAAAGTTATCAAGATTCGCATTCACAAGAATCATATTTTAATTAAACATATTCATTTCTATATTTATTTTTCATTAATTTTTTCATTCACTTCACTTTCAGAAATGATGGCTCCTCTTTCACGAGATAAATTATGTATATTTTCGTGAACGTAGAAGAGACTTATGTTAATAACTTTAACAGATAATAAGTTTCAATAAGTATTTACTAAGTTAATATTTAATATATAATGTATAATATTTAATATGTAATATACAATATTTAATATTTAATATATAATATATATTATTTAATATTTAATATACAATATATAATATATAATATACAATATTTAATATTTAGTATATAATATATATTATTTAATATTTAATATATAATATATATTATTTAATATTTAATATACAATATATAATATATAATATACAATATTTAATATTTAATATATAATATATATAATATATAATGTATAATATTTAACAGATAATAAGTATTTAATAAGTTTGGATTGCAAATATCGTACAAAGGTGAAATTTCTTTTGTCTGAAGTAATGTTCCTCGTATGTTTTTTGTTCGTGTACATCATTCGTCATCTTCAACTCTGCAAGAAAGTTAACACGTTTACTAAATTAATTCGCTACTTTCGCGCGACGGAACAAGTTAACGTACAGTTATAAGACACATCTATTGAACAACTCTGAATATTATAACCGTGCCTCGTACGTTAATTTACTTGACTTTTGCGCTCATTTGCAACAACTTTCCCACTGAAACATTTACTGCTCGTTTACTCTGCTCCGCCGCCACGCATGTTTGCATTCGATTAGACTGCACGATAACTGAAAACTAGGAGAACAGCTTTTTCCAGAGCGTATTCTCGTAAAGCGAAAGTAAAACTTTCTGCTCAGAGGAACTAGTACGGCTGCCCAATTCTAGATTTTTTTTTTTTTTTTTTAAATCCGATTTGTAATCTAACTTTCGCTTAAAATGTAGATAAACTGGTAATACTTGAATTTAACGTGATATTTTGTATTTACATTTTATAAAATGTAAATATATTTTCTATCGTACTGTATAATATAATATAATTTAACATTGTGCTACAATTTATCTTTTATTTTATCTTTGTTTTGCCCACTTTCGTATCATTCTTTGCTTAATAAAATATAAACATTAATAAATTGCTTAATATTTTATATTATAATATATAATATATATTATATTAATATTAATACTTAATATTTAATACTGTAATATATAATATTACTACTTAATATTAATATTAATACTTAATATTTAATACTGTAATATATAATATATATTGTATTAATATTAATATTAATACTTAATATTTAATACTGTAATATATTAATATTAATATTAATACTAATATTAATACTTAATATTAATATTAATACTTAATATTTAATATTAATACTTAATATTTAATACTGTAATATATAATATATATTGTATTA